GGGGATGGCATGGCGCGCGGCACCCTGGTGGCTCTTTCACTTGCCGCTTCCTCAAAGCTTCAGAGGGAACTGCGGGGAGCCACAGGGTAAAGGTCACGTGGCGAGGAGGTGCCGTGCGGAGAGTCCGGGGCACCGACTCTGGGGAGAAAGGAGAGTTTAGAAGGCGCCCTCCTCTCGGTGCGGAATTTGGCTTTAGCGAGGGAAGGAAAAGCGAAAGGGCCCCTGGGCGCGCAAGGCCCCGCCTGGCTTTCTGACCCCGCCTGGTTCTCTCCGGAAGGAAGGCTGCGGAACACTCGCAGTCACCCTCGCAAGAGCTGTGGCTGCTGCCCGCCCGGAGTCAGCGGGTTCTGCTGCTGCACCCACTGTGGACCCCTCCCCCCCATACAGGAACATCGGGGCTTGGGGTATTGGGACCCGAGTTAAAAAGAGGGGTTGTACCTGGAATGGCCTCATCCCCCGACCAGCTGAGCTCCCAAAGCACCCCCCCCAACGCCGCGCCTTGGACACACACACACCAGTGTTGGCGGCCCTGAGACCCTACCCTATCCAACTCCCTTTCACGGGGGGCGGGGGCGGGGGTGTCACCGTTGGTTCCAGCAGCCCTGTTACTCCCTGGGGCCACGTGACAAAGTACTCCTTTCCTCCTTGTGGCAGCTGCCAGGAGGGCAGCACTGCAGGGGGCTGCCCGGGAGGGTGTCTTCTGGGATAGTCCCTGCTTTTCCTTCTCAGAGGGAGGGGTCGCTTAAATCTCGGAGGTCTTTCAGTCGGGAGAGCAGAGATCCTGGAACTTCTGGGACCTGGTCATGGGGCAGAGGGCCTCAACACCCAACTCTCTCCTCCCCACACCCCCTCACAGCTACAGTTCCTCCTGGCTGTGGCCCCTCCCTGGCAGCCTGTGCTGGCCTGCCTCCACCCCCTCACCCCTAAAGTGACCTGAGGCCAGCCTGCATGCTTCTCTGCACTGCCCCCCTCGGACATTCCACCCTGGTGAATGCCCTTCAGCTCCTTGCACCACTTTTTATGATGACTTTTTACTGAGAATGAGGGGGAGGTTGGCACTTCTGACCATGGACTGTGCAAACCACTCATCACACCCCCTCTGTGTCCTACCCCCCCTCCACCCTCTGCACACCTGAGCTGCCTCGGCTGGGTTTCTCCCCCTCTTCTCCCTCTCCTTGGGTCCTGCCCCTGCCTCCCACACCCACACCCTGTGCTGTTCCCTGAGGCCTCAGCTCTTTGCAAGGTAGAGGGTGCGGGGGTCAGGGAGCCTTGGGGTTAAGGGCACTGGTGGCAGGAACCTAGAATGGATGACCCCCAGGGAAAGACCAAGGGGCGCCTAAGAGACCCCCCACAAAGAGGCAGCATCGATGGTGGCCATGGGAGGTTTAATGGCCCGGGCCCGGGCCAGCAGGCCAGCCAGCAGGGGTGGCATCACCAGATGAACACAGGCTTTCCGTCGAGCACCAGCTGACCGAGGGGCCCTGGTGAGGCGAGGCCCCGGTGAGGCAGCACCACCAGTGCAGTGGGAGGTTTAATGGCTTTGCCAGCAGAGGCGGCGTCACCAGATGAACATAGGCTTGCCGTCATCGAGAGCCAGCTGGCTGAGGCAGGAGAGCAGCAGCAGCGCGTCCGTGAGCAGGCCGGGATGCACAGTCTCCACCAGCACGTGCTGCAGGAAGTCCACAGTGTAGCAGCCTCCCTCGGAGGCCGCCAGCTCCGGCCGCTCTCGCAGGATGCCGTAGGCGTTGACCAGCTGCTCCGTCAGTGCAGGGTGCACCCGGCCGTTGTAGCCCAGGCTCTGCAGGCGGTTCATGATGCTCACGTAGCGCTGCGTGAGCGTCTGGCACAGCTCCTCATCCAGCTTGTGGTCGCTGGGGCTCATGGAGGCCTGCGGGGACACAGCCAGCCGTCAGGGCCCTCCCTGCCACCACCCCTGTAGGGCCCATGGGGGCCGGGCCTGAGCAGGAGGGTCAGCACCCCACAGCGGAACATCGAGGCTGTGCACTGTGAGCTTCGCTGCCTGTCCTCCGGCCAGGCCATGACAGTGCGAGCGGTGCTCTTGGTACCCGCAAGCTGCCCGGAAGAGAAGACACTGCTGGGGTCTCCCCGGCTTGCTGCCCTCCATTCCCAGGGGCCCTCTTCCCTCACCTGGGCTCCATCATCTGCTCCTGACTTGCGCCTGGGTGTGGGTGTGCGCGCGTGTGGGTACACACACGTACACACACACACACACACACACACACACACACACACACACACCAGGGCTCACTGAGTCCCCTGGACAGAGCATCAGGCCTGGTGGGACCATGCTGAACCCTGAACTGGAGCACCCCAGCACTCTAGTGCCCTGGACTCGGCGTCACTGCCACCTGGTCAGTAACCTGGGCACATGCCAGCGCCATGACTCTGGGCTCCCCTTGGGCCCCAGGACTTCTCACCTCTTCAGTCCCACCGCAGGCCCCAGCTGCACAGGCCACAGGAGCTCAGCACGCCCCTGTGAGCCTGCACTGACTACACTGAGCAAATAGGGTGGGGTGCTCTTTGTGCCCTGACCCCTGTGGGGAGTGGAGGCCCGCCCTGTGCAGCCTCACATACGGGTTCTTACGCAGCCACAATAAGGCCTTTGGCGCATGAACCTGAGAGTGCTCAGAGAAGTGAACTGGGCACATAAGGCCAAGGTGGCAGGACCCCCTCAGAGGGGGCCAAGCCCATGGCAGGAGGTAGGCAGAGGCTGGCGGTGGGTGGGGTGGGGGGCACAAGGACTTGTTTAGGCCGAGCTAAAAGATCTAGATGTCAAAATGATTAATTCAATCTACACAACCTCATTCCTGCACTCAGTGCCATCCATGTACACCTGGAGGTGATGTGTGCCCCTATGCTTGCTCTGTGCCCGTGTGTGTGCCCTGCGCCTGCTGTGTGCTGCTGTGTGACCAGCGTCAGGTGAGCTGCGCAGGGCAGGGAGGGGGCAAGGGCTAGCGCCG